TCTTTTTTTTTGAGATGGAGTCTCGCTCTATCACCCAGGCTGGAGTGCAGTGGCGCGATCTCGGCTCACTGCAAGCTCCGCCTCCTGGGTTCACGTCATTCTCCTGCCTCAGTCTCCCCAGCAGCTAGGACTACAGGCGCCCGCCACCACGCCTGGCTAATTTTTTTGTATTTTTTAGTAGAGACGGGGTTTCACCATGTTAGCCAGGATGGTCTCGATCTCCTGACCTCGTGATCCGCCCTCCTCGGCTTCCCAAAGTGTTGAGATTACAGGCGTAAGCCACCGTGCCCGGCCTCTGCTACTTTCAAGTAAGGAAAGCCAAGCAAGCTCACAGACCACTCCATGCCCTCCTTTTCTCACCTCTAAAACAGAGATAATTCAAGTATCTACACCATAGAATTATGAATTAATATGCTCAAAGGACTTAGAACCATGCCCAGAACACGCAGGTGCTATATGTGGAAGCTCCCAGTGTTATTACCCATGCAGATGTCCGGCGTCTGGTTGAATGCTCAGCAGGCGTCCTAAAGGCCCCCGAGTGCAGGGATGAGGGGCAGGCCTTAGGCTGGGCCATGAACGAAAGACTGAGCATTCCAGGCAGAGGAAGCCCTGCACTGACTTCAGGGCTGGGAGGAGTCACCCCTGTTGTTGGGAGAGTCCAGGAGAGATGGCCAGGGTCCGGGGTCCTGAGTGGGAGTTTTCCATGCTCCTTCCCTCTTGGGAACCACCGTTTGCATTTGTCCATCCTTTGTGATTAGGTAGGACAAAGGCTCTGCTCTCCAGCAGATCAGATGGGTGGAGTCAGGTAAGAAAACAGGAGCAACCCAGAGAAATCACATGCTGTGATGTGAGTGGGGTGGTGGTGGCCTATCCTGGCCTTGTGAGTCCAGGAAAGCTGCCTGGAGGAGGGGGCTGAGTCCTGACTTCAGGACAAGGGGTGTGGGCATGAACAGAAAGCATGATGCGTTGTGCTGGGCACAGGGAGTGTGATGCCTTTGGGGGCCAGAACAACAGGGCATCAAGAGTGAGGGGTTTGAGTCCATGTTCCTTCATTACTTGAGTGCCCAAGGCAAGGATTTAATGTCTCTGAGCCTCAGTTTCCTCATCCACACAATGAGAATCACAGTTCCCTGTGTCCCAGGCCTGATGAACGGGTGTTAGAAGGATGTGCATCGCAGGTACCCAGCTGGCTCCCAGCATGTCCCAAGGGGATCAATGCAGGGGCCACTGTGCACCTGCCTTTTGGACCAGACTTTCTCTCTCATGTGTCCTGTTCTTACATACATTTACACACAAGCTGTCGTGCCAGTGGCCACAGTGTCCCCACCTTTATGCTCCCAGGGATATGCGGTAGCTGCCCCTATTTGGACTCCTGGATACAGCAAGCTGCATTTAACCACCACAGGGAGGAGGGTATGCCAGACCCCCCTTGGTGCCTACTTGATGCCAATGTGCACAGCAGCTTGTCTAGGCACTCCCAAAGTGCAGAGGGGCAGCTTTCTGCTGCATTTCATTTTGGCAGTGCCTTTTCTTCATCTTGAAATATACTGATGCCCTCACTTATTCTCCTGGGGGCTCAGCATCTCCATTCTCTCCAGTCTGCATTTCCTGTCTGGTGGGTCTGTCCCGTTAGCACCAGGGCGTGAGCGTGCTCCTCCCCTCCTCTTCCTCCTCCTTCTCTCCTCCTCCTCCCCACTTCTCCCATCCTCATCTCCTCCCCATCTCCCCTCCCACTCATCTCCTCCTCCCTCACCTCCCCTCCTCCTCCTCCTTCTCTCCTCCTCATCTCTTCCCCCTCCTCCTCATCTCCCCATTTCCTCTCCATCCTCCTCAACTCCTCCTCCTCCAGCTCCCCTCCTCCTTATCTCCTCCTCTTCCTCCTCCTCAGCTCTTCCTCTTCCTCCGTGTCTTCTCCTCCCTTACCTCTCCTCACTCTCCTCTCTTCCTTTTTTCTCCCTAGGTGCTCCTAACTGCAGTTACTGCTGCTTCAGCCCCTGCCAAGGCCATTGCCAAACGTGCTCAGGAGGGCAGGGACTTGGGAGGCCTGAGCTAACCTGGACAAGAGGCTTCTCCCTGCTGGGTCTCATGTGAGAATCAGCAGATGGAAGTTGGCAGCAGGTCTTAATCCGGCTGGGCTTCCCCAGTCTTCCCTGGGAGGTCTGGCTCAGGCAGGCTGCAGGTGGGACCCGGGGCTCTGCTGTAGAGTTCCTCAGTTGCTGCTGCTGCTGCTGCTGCTGGGTGAGAACTGGGCCCCACAGACTGGACGCTTTCCAAGACAAATCCCCTTCACAGGCAAATGCTTCCCCACCAGGGGGCCAGGGCTTGGAGCACTGCAGTCCCCCAGCCAAAGGTGTTTCTGCAGTGGAAGTGTGTGCCTCAAGCTGCCAGCCTGAGCAACGAGAAAGACCTTCCCCCGGCTCCCTGAACACTGGTTTCATGACGGGAGTCCGGCTTCCCGTGCAGGGTCATCCCTGTGGGTAGAAGGCACTGGTCAGAGTGGCAGCAGCGCTCCAGCCAGCAGGATGCTGAGTTCCCATCACAGCGGCACACGCTGGCCTGTTTATACACCTGGCTCTGCAGGCTTGGCCTTTTCTCTTTCAATGATGTTTATCTGGGTTCTGTAACGTTCTTCTCCTGCCTCCCTCTCCCACCTCTGGACAGGGACCCTGTTCCTGTGTCTGGTCTTGTTGCCTAATTGCCACATCACTGTCACCTTTCCAGATGCTCACAAGCCCACTCGACGCCTCCGCTTGGACGTCCTGCCTGCACCTGTAGCTCACACTCTGTGCGTCCGGGATGTCCTGCCTGCACCTGCACCTCACACTCTGTGTGTCCGGGATGTCCTGACTGCATCTCACACTCTGTGTGTCTGGGACGTCCTGCCTGCACCTCACACTGTGTGTGTCCAGGACGTCCTGCCTGCACCTGCACCTCACACTCTGTGTGTCCGGGACGTCCTGCCTGCACCTCACACTCTGTGTGTCCGGGACGTCCTGCCTGCACCGCACACTCTGTGCATCTGGGACGTCCTGCCTGCGCCTCACACTCTGTGTGTCCGGGACGTCCTGCCTTTACCTGCACCTCACACTCTGTGTGTCCGGGACATCCTGCCTGCACCTCCACCTCACACTCTTGTGTGTCCGGGACATCCTGCCTGCACCTCACACTCTGTGCATCCAGGACGTCCTGCCTGCACCTGCATCTCACACTCTGTGTGTTCAGGATGTCCTGCCTGCACCTACAGCTCACACTCTGTGTGTCCGGGACGTCCTGCCTGCACCTCACACTCTGTGCATCTGGGACGTCCTGCCTGCACCTCCACCTCACACTCTGTGCATCCAGGATGTCCTGCCTGCACCTCCAAGGAGTGGACACCATGTCTAGGGAGCAATGGCTGGAGGCTGTAGCTGGAGCCTCCTGCAACAGAGAGGCTGCCTTTCCCTGGGTCGAGGGGCCTGTGGCTGCCAGGCTTGTATCTGGCTGCCTTGGAGGAGGGACCAGGGTGCTCCAAGCCTTGGTCTCCTAGAGGGGAAGGACCAGCATTTGCCTGTAAAGGGGGATGTCTGGCAAAGCATCCTCATTTCCATTCATACAGTTCATGGCCTCTGATGTTCTCAGCAGAGAGGAGTGGTGGCTGCAGAGCTTTTCTCTGGCCTCCTTCCAAATATTTTGGGATTCAGTCACCCTTTCTTCTCCTAGAGGACACAGGTAGCCTGATCAAGCTATGGGTTCAGGAAGGATGTTAAGATTTCAACTCCTGCCTTAATGGATGCCTTCTGTATCAGCCAGGGTTCTCCAGAGAAACAGAACTAATAGGACAGAAATTATATATATAATGTAGGATTTATTATAAGGAATCAGTTCCTGTAATCATGGAGGCCGAGAAGTCCTGAGATCTGCAGTTAGCAAGATGGAGACCCAGGAACGGGAACTGGTATAGTTCCAGTCCAAAAGCCTGTAGGCTGGAGACCCAAGAAGGGCGGATGTTTCAGTTCCAGTCCGAAGGCAGCAAAAGACCCATGGCCCGACTCAAAGGCGGTCGGGAGAAACCCCTCTTACTTACAGCAGGGTCAGCTTTTGTTCTATTCAGGCCGACTGACTGATTGGATGAGGCCCTCCCACACTGGGGACGGCGAGCTGCTTTACTCAGTCTACTGATTCGAATCTTAATCTCATCCAGAAACCCCCTCACGGACACACCCAGAATCATCTTTGGCCCAAATATCTGGGCACCTTGTGGACTGGTCAAGTTGACGTGTAAAATTCACTGTCCCACCATCTACTACAAAGACATCGGCTCTGGCTACAATTTTTCTTTGAATCTGTCCTTTGGGTAGGGAGCGTCCAGGCAGGGGGGGGGAAAAAAAAAAAAGCCCAAACAGTAAGAATACTAAGCAGGGCTGGAGAATTCCTTCCATGATGACGGAACTTTTCCTCTGGCACTCCCTTCCCAATAAATAAATCCTGCCCACTCCCAGGAGATGCGGTGTCTGCCTCTTCTCCGCCCCCCAGCAAATAAAAGAAATAACACGCTTCCCAGTCGCAGCTGCTCCACACCTCAGCATATGCTCTGCCTCGCTTGCTTCCTCACTGTTAAAATGACAACGGGTGCTGTCTTCGGTGCTTCCAACACCCTCGGGTCCTTCTCGCGGCCCGGCCTTCCTACGCTGCTACGTTGTGCATTACCCACAACAGCAAAAATGTTCCACGGGTGGTTTCAAGATTCCTAAAAAAATAGATTCAAAACATCTTTAATACTCTCTGAAGAAGCAATACATCACAGCAAAAGCTGTAACCTTTCCTATTGCTGATACTATCCAGACTGCGGGCCGATGAGGACGGTAACTGCAGCCAATTCGTATTCTGCGTGGCTGCCGCTGGAGGTGCACAGGAGCTGGTCCACCCACCCTCCACGCTCCCAACCAGGGAAGCTGCTGAATTTCTGAGTGTTTGCCTAATGCCCTTTTACACAACCTGAAAAGAGTCACAGTACTTGAAGGCAGTATTTTCCAAGAAACAGCCTTCCCCTATTAACGCAACATCCCTGAAAATAATACTGCTGTTTCTACAGCAGTGACAGGCCCTGCATGGAACGCATTTTTCCTTCCTTTTTTCCCCACCACAGAGCCACAGGCAAGAAGCTGTGGCAGCGGAGCCTCGTCAAAGCCAGCTGGACAGAGGAATGGCTACTTGCATTGTTAAGTAGGAGCGCTTCACAGTGACCATGGGCCAGCCAGGAACTGCCTTCCCCCAGGACGGGGGGACAGCTGTGGGTGGGTGTGAGGCACAGGGAGGCTTCTCTGCCTGGTGATCCCAAGAGGACCGGCAACAGGTGCCCTGACTGGCTGAAGGAGGAGGCTGCCGGGAAATCAGAGACTTGAATTTGCCAGGTTGTTTGAAGGTTAATGTTATGGGTAATCAAAGGGAGGAGACAAAAGACAGAAACATGGAAACCCTTCAGAACAGTGAAAGGTTTCATTTACCTTTGGTAAATAAAAGTGTGTTCATATTTTCACAAGGATTTTTCTATTTCACCAGCTTACAACTCAAACCGGGCTGGGCAAACACACTGCGATACGGCGGTCACGGCTATAATCCAGAGAGAATGCCCAGAAATGGGAAACAGAAACGCAAGGCAGGATGCCCCTTCGTGCTGGAAGTCAGACACCCCGTGTGTTCTTCTCGCCGCCCGCTGAGGTCTGAGCCGGGCCCTGCTGTGAATGACCCTGGGAACGGTGCCAGAGCCACCCAGACTTGGTGCGGACCACAGAGCTCCCTTTCAGGGGCCCTGTGTCTTTGGACAGGTCACTAGACTTCTCTGAACCCGTTTGCTCATTTCCAGGAAGGGGTAAGATCTCTCTGACAGTTCAGGGGGTGGGCAAGAATGATGGGTGCCAAGCCTACCACCCCAGGCCCTGGAAAGGAATCAGCCTTTCCAAAAATGATGGTTTTTATTATTCTCATTATTCTAGAAAATGTCTTTGTGAATTGTTTGCTTGATTGAAACTTGTTTCTTTTTAATAAAATCTTGACTTTAAAAAGCCCGAAGGCACCTCTGTTTTTTTTATTCAGCAGAATAGGACGCGGGGTGAAGACAGTATTTAGAGACTTGGTAAATGTTTTCTTCTTTAACTTACATTGCCGTGTGCGTGCGTGTTTTTCTCCTTTCATCTTTCCCTCGCTCCCTCAATTTAAGAAAGGTTAGTTTAGGTAAAATGAGCGTTACAAGGCTCCCACAACCTCCGCAGCCTTTCTGTCACAGGCTCGAAGAGCAGAATGAACCCCAGGCTGAGTATGAACTTTTTGTAGGGCTCAAGAGAACAGAACCCCAAGCTGAGGAGGGAGGGGCAGACTTGGAGTGTGGGAGGACAGGGTAGGGGGTGCAACCTCGTGGTCAGGCTGCCACTCGGGGGGCATGGCAGAAGCAGACCTGGCTCAGTGGCCAGAAGCAGAGAGGTCCACACCCCCAGGCCAGGACCCATAGGCCCAGTGAGGTCTTCCTTGCCGAGAGCTCCAAGGGGACTGACCCTTGGATCCCTTAGGAGGAGGGATCAAGGCCACCAGGACTGGAAGCCCAGAGGCCACAGCAAGCCTGATTCCCGAAAGAGAAGCAGAGGGGGTCTGGGGAGGGAATATCTGCCATCTTTCATCTGACAGGGGACAGACACAGGCACTGGCTGTGCTGATCAGAAAGGAACAGTGATGCTGACATGCAAGAAGGCTGGCGCAGCTGAACCAGGTCACGGTCACTTCACTCTAATCTGACATTCTCAGCACAGGCTGTGTCCACGCAGTGACTCTAACAGGTGCATAACCATCAGGCAGCAAACAAGGGGTCTATGGATGTGAAGCCCCCTAGACTGGAATAATGGGATTTCTCAAAGGGCCCCAGGAGCTAGGGCGGGCAGCTCGCAGAAGGTGCAACTCCAGCAACTTCCCTCCACCCAGAGCACCTGCTCCAGCCTGGCTCGCGGGTCCACCGTGAGAGGCAGCGGGGCTCGCACAGAGCCCGGGGACGCCTCCCTGGCCACTGCACCCCTTTCTACAGGCTGACTCAGAGCTCCCTGCAGCGGAGACACACAGGAGACGCTCTGAGGGTCCTGACTTATTCTCTGGTCCCAGAGATATGACCCAGGGTCTCAGGATCCCAGGTTGGATGGTCCAGGGTGGATGGAGGGCAGCAACCTCCTCTGGAAGTGGGGTCCCCAGCAGCACCCGGTTCAGTGAAAATGGAAGTGAGAGTGAGCCTCTAAGAGGAGGTTGCATTTATACAAGAGCAGAGGTCGAGGCAGCAGTTTTCTCATCTGCAAAATGCTAATAACAAAGCCTGCCCCTGGGCTTGTGAGGACGAGCTGAAGCCCTGGGGAAGGCCTGGCTCGCTGCAAACCCACATGGAAGAAGCGCGGAGCTGTGAAAGGTAGTGCAGGTTCTAGGGAGAGGGCCAAGCAGACAGGGAGACAGGGACCTGATGGCTGGAATGGGCTTTCGAGGAGTCTTGTTTTGCTAGAGGCGGAGCTGGCCTGGGGCTACAGGGAGCAGCAGGCTCCATTCCCATCATCAATGCCCAGATCCCAGGGCGCCCCTCACCTGGGGGGCTTACAGCCCACATCTTCCCATCCCCGGATGGCTTTGCGGTCCCTGCTATTTCCTGAATACACCAGCCCACCCTGCCTCAGCCTGGAGCCTGCAATGTTTCTCCCTCAGCCATCAGCGACCCGAGTGACCTCCTTTCTTACCTCCTCAGGCCTCTGCCCAAAGGCAAACACAGAGAGCTCTTTCCAAACGCTACTATTTCAAATCTCACAGCTAACACTCCGTATTCATTTTTCTCCATTGCACTTATCAACATTATGTGTGTGATTCTGAAGAACGTATATTCTCTAGATTTTATGTACAATATTCTCTATGCCATTGTCATGTTTACTAATTGTGTTTGCAAATCTTCTATACCTTTATTTTTATCATTATTTTTGTCTGTTTGTCTTGTTATTTAGAGAATGTGTTAAATGTGACTGTGAATTTATTTTTTCCCTTCTAGTTCTGTTAATTTCTGCCTTTTATATTTTGAGGCTATGTTCTATGTTCTGTGAACCCTTTGGGTATCTGAGACGGGTCTCAATTTAGGAAATTTATTTTGCCAAAGTTAAGGATGCATGCCAGTGACACGGCCTCAGGAGGTCCTGATGACATGTGTCCAGGGTGGTCGGGGCACAGGTTGGTTTTATACATTTCAGGGAGACATGAGACATCAATCAATACATGTAAGATGTACATTGGTTCTGCCTGGAAAGGGGTGGGACAACTCCAAGTGGGAAGGGGGCTTCCAAGTCATAGGTAGGTAAGCGACAAATGGGTGCATTCTTTTGAGTTTCTGATTAGCCTTTCCAAAGGAGGCAGTCAGATACGCATCTATCTCAGTGAGCAGAGGGGTGACTTTGAGTTCTATCTGTCCTTTGTCCACAAGGAAATTCCTTGTGAGGAAGGTATGTAGCCTGTTTTTATTTTTTCATTTTTTATTTTTATTTATTTATTTATTTTGAGACAGAGTCTCACTCTGTCGCCCAGGCTGGAGTGCAGTGGTATGGTCTTGGCTCACTGCAACCTCTGCCTTCTGGGTTCAAGGAATTCTCTGCCTCAGCCTCCCAAGTAGCTGGGATTACAGGTACCTGCCACCACGCCCGGCTAATTTTTTGTATTTTTAGTAGAGACAGGGTTTCACCATCTTGGCCAGGCTGGTTTTGAACTCCTGACCTCGTGATCCACCCGCCTCGGCCTCCCAAAGTGCTGGGATTACAGGTGTGAGCCACCGTGCCCAGCTGTAGCTTGTTTTTAAAATCTGAGTAGTTATCTTTTTTAAAGGGATAGAATGAGAGGCAGGTTGGCTCTAAGTAGTTCCCAGCTTGACTTTTCCTTTCGGCTTAATGATTTTGGGGTCCCAAGATTTATTTCCTTTCGCAGTTCTTAGATGCACGCAATTGTTGCATCTTCCTGGTGAGCTGAGGGTGGTGTTTTTTTTTTTTGTTTTTTTTTTTTCTTTTGAGATGGAGTCTCGCCTTGTTGTCCAGGCTGGAGTGCAGTGGTGCGATCTTGGCTCACTGCAACCTCCACCTCCCGGGTTCAAACCATTCTCCTGCCTCAGCCTCCTGAGTAGATGGGATTACAGGCGCGTGTCACCACACCCAGCTAATTTTTGTATTTTTAATAGAGATGGGATTTCACCATGTTGACCAGGCTGGTCTTGAACTCCTGACCTTGTGATCCATCCACCTCGGCCTCCCAAAGTGCTGGGATTACAGGCATGAGCCACCGTGCCCGGCCAAGGGTGGGTTTTTAAAAAATAGTAATTATGAAGTATTGCTTCTTGTCTTAGTCAATTTTGTGTGATACTGATGTAGCTACACCTGCTTTTATGCACAGTGTATCTTTTTGCCTTCCTTCATCCTTTTCCCTTTAATCTTTCTATACCTTTTCTCTTTTAATGTGTTTTTTATAAATAGCATAGAGTGAGAATTTAAAATTTCAGTCTGGAAAGCTTTATCTTTTGGTTAGAGCATATACATTTGACGTAATTACTGATGTACTCGGGTTTAAATTGATCATTTTGCTAAATGCTTTCTGTGTCTCACTTGCTCTATGTTCCTTGTTTCTTTTCTCCTTTGTCTTCTTTTGGATTAGGTATTTTGTATTTCATTGTAATATCCACAGATATTACATCCCTCATCCTTGACTTATTGAAGTGCAATGTAGATACTTATACTCTCTTCCTTGGCCTTAAAATAATTCAAGGGCCTTAAAATAATTTCATTTCATTTGTTCCCCACCCCATTTCTAAACCTTTTTTGCATTTATTTTATTTCTCTCTATACATGTTGTTTCATGAGAGTTTTTTTTATCTTTGTGTACAATTGATATAGCCTTATTTTTACATTTTTTTTTTGTTGCTTTTTCATTGCTTCCTGAAACTCTAACCTTTCTTTTGAATTAATTTCATCTGCCTGAAAAACATACTTTTGGATTTCCTTCAGTGCGGGCTTTTTTCCCTTTTCTTTTCTTTTTTGAGATGGAGTCTTGCTCTGTTGCCCAGGCTGGAGTGCAATGGTGCGACCTTGGCTCACTGCAATCTCTGCCTCCTGGGTTCAAGCAGTTCTCCTGCCTCAACCTACTGAGTAGCTGGTATTACAGGTGTTCGCCACCATGACCACCTAATTTTTGTATTTGCAGTAGAGACGTGGTTTCCCCATGTTGGCCAGGCTGGTCTCCAACTCCTGACCTCAGGTGATCGACCCGCTTTGGCCTCCCAAAGTGCTGGGATTACAGGCATGAGCCACCACACCCAGCCAGGCTTTTTGGTGACAAATTATTTCACGGTTTGTCTGAACTTTTAAAAAATCTCATCTTTGTTCTTTCTTCTAAGGGCATTTTCACCGGGTATAGAATTCTGAGCTGGCAATTTCTTTCAGCACTTTAAAGATATCACACCACTGACTTCTGACTTTCAATGTTTTATTGAGAAGTCAGTTATATATTTCATCACTGTACCTTTCAAAGTAATCTGTCTTTCCCTTCCACCTACTTTTTAGATTTTTCGTTGTCTTTAATTTTCAGCAGTTTTACTCTGAGTGCCTTGGTGTAGATTTCATTTATCCTGCTTGTAGTTTAGAGCGTTTCTTGAATCTATGACTTGATATCTTTCAACAGTTGAGAAATGTTCTCACCCATTTTCTTGAAATATTGCTTCTGACACAGTTTCCTCCTCCTCTCTTTCTGGAATTCCAGTTATACGTGTGTTAGACATTTTCACTGTAACTCCTACTGCCCCACCTCCCTGCCTTTTTTTTGCATTTTTTCTCTGGTCTCTCTGTACTTAATGCGGATTTTTTTTCTAATCAATCTTTCAGTTCATAATTCTTTTTTTTTGGTTGCATCTGTTAAACTTGTCACTGAATTCTTCATTTGGGGTATTATGTGGTTATTTACATTTGGCTTTGAAAAAAGATACATAGTTTCTGGTTCTCTAATGAAAATTACAATTTTGATCTTTTCACATC